GCACTCGATCCCACTGTCCATGTCACTGATATGGTAAACCAGCGTAGTCCAATCTGGTTTTATCAGAAAAAAGACTTGGAAACATTTGTGATTCTTTTTAAACCTGTGGTGAGCCAGTAAGTGCTGTATGCTGCCTGCAGGATGGGGTACAGCCGAAATGGCGTCCTGCAGATTGGGGGAGGCTGGGCCTGAGCATCAGCTAGCCTGATAGGGTCTTATGTTGCAAACCACTTCTGTGTCTTGAAGTATGTTAAATACCTTATGTCAGCCATGGTCAGCTTGTACAAGCCCTGAAGGCTCTTCAGTGGGGAAGGATGTGCAGAAGACACTCTTCACACTGCAGTGTGCTGGATCCACCCTTCCCACACACAACCCTCCCAGAGGGGTACACCTTTCCGAGGATGCTGTCACCAACACAGATATGTCCAAACATGGTAGTTTCCAGCGGCTTGAGAAACCAGTCACCCAAGTGGTCCCTGCTGGCTGACAACACACGGGCTGAAGGTGCTCGTCTGGGACAAACGCACATCTCAAATCACTCGCAGGGCTCTGTGAGGACCCCCTGCCTTGAGCAAATCTTCTGTCAACAAAAAGCAAAAAAACCTGGAGCAAACAAAGCATTGACAAGGACAGGGATCCATTAGGATGAATTTTTTGTCTCTTCATGCTTCAGTGGAGCCAGTATCAGATGATGAGATTGGCTCCCTGCCACCCAGCCAGGTGTGACTGCTGCCTGCGGACAGGCACTGACCGCGTAAATCATTGCAAGAAGGTCAAGGAAAACTACACAATAGTGAAACCACCCACCCTATTTCTGTATGAACAATTTCACACGGCTTAAAATGCATCTTGTGGAGGTTTGAAACAGATCTCTCCTGAATTTTGAACGTGAACTTTTACCTGAATTGGAAATATCCGTGTAAAAGACTGCATTTTATTTTTGCTTGAAACAACCTTTTGTTGCCTTTCAAGCAATCACTTATGTTCTTTTGAATGGATTCTGATAGGATGTTTGTTAAGTGTACAGAATTGTACTTTTCCTAGCTGCAGTTGCAGATGAAACCATTTGTTTGCTGTTGAAGTTCTAAAAAACTGATTTCTACCATTTTTACCCCCAAAGCATAGCTAATTTTGAACAATATCTCAGAATAGTTTTGGACCTGTTTCCACTTGCAGGACTGTAAGTGTCCTCAAAACAGAATCAAATGCCTATTCCTTTAGAGCTTCCATTTGATGATGGTGAAACACATTCTTGAAAAGAAAAGTCAATCTGATCTGAATAAAATACTTTCTCAAAAAGACTCGAGGAGTTTAAAAAAAAAAAACAACCTCAACAAACAGAAAGGTCATTTAGTCGCATGGAAGAGAGGATTAGTACAAGGAGACCTCAAGGAGAACAAAACGCAGAGGTTTATGGAGCAGAGACTCCCACCATCATGCTTCCCAACGTCCTCGGTGCTGCAATG